GACGAGTTGTAGTAGGTGTGGAAGGAGGCGTTGCCCTGAAGATGATGTTAGGAGGTGCCTTCTCCTGGAGCCAAGAAAAGCACGTCGGAAAGACTTACAATCTCAATGGTGAAGACGGAGGGGTTAGGAACGTCAACCCAGCCGAAGAAGTTGTCGCCGTTGTCGTCGTGGGTAATGTTGACGCGGTTCGAGGTGACGGCAAGACCCTTGAAGTGGTTCAGGCCTACGTTCTGTCAGTATTTTTCTCCGATCCCAGAAAAACAGCAGGGCCAGGCGTAACGTACCAGTGAGCTCCATGGTCTTCTTGAAGGTGACGCCGTACTTCCTGGAGATGCCGTTGACCTTGACGTGGGTCTTGCCCTCAACGGTGACGCGGAGGGTCTCGTTGCCGAGCAGCCAGGTGTTGAAGGTGGTGAAGGCATCCATGTCGGGAATCGTGACCTCCTGGGTGGTGTTGACGGTCTGGATCTTGACGGACTCGGTCTCGGGGAAATCGAGGTGGACAAAGGGGATGTGCGACTCAATGTCCTCGAGGTACATGACGGCGGCGAAGGGGGCGATCTTGGCCTTGACACCGCCCTTGGAGCGGATGGTCGAGTTGATGGCCATGTTGAACTTGTCCTCCTCGGTCTTGGTGACAATGATGCCATCAACAGTGAGCTCAGCGTGGTCCAGCTTGCTCTGGGCGATCTTGGGAATGGCCACGAAGATGCTGTGACAGGGTCAGCAATGGAGCTAAGCGAGGCGCGGCAGAACAGGTAGCCCGTCTTACATCAAGCAGACGGCGAGGACAACAATGGCGATGAAGGCCAGGAGGTAAATCCACCAGAACTTGGCGCAGTGTCGCATGCACGACTTGCGCTTGCCACGCTTCTCAATGGGCTGCTCATGCTGAGCCATCTGAACCTTGTCCGACATTGTGTGTGAGTTTCGACGATGAGACAGCTGGCCTTGATGTGTATGTGTGTGTGAGTATGTGCTGACGTTGTCGTGAATATTGATACAGCAGGACTCGCGTCTCTTACTCGCAGATGGAAGCCCCAGTGAAGGAAAAACGGACGACAAGGGAGGAAGGGGAAGAGCGAGATGAGAGGGGGTGGGACCTTGGGGGACTTTAATATCTAGATGGCAATAACAGGATGGGTATGCACTGCGAGGAGATTTCAGAGATCCATCCGGGGTAGGACGGGGATGCGTCTGGGGCGCCTGGCTGGATTTGTGTTGTATGGGCCTGCTTGCCTACCAAATCAGAAGAAAAGAAAGGCACGAGCTTCTTGTTGTCAGGCCTCTGGTACGTTCCTTCACTGTAAGGGTACAACGTAGCAGGTGAAAGTGCAAGGGCCGCGTTGGTAGTGCGTAGTAGCTTTGTGATCGCCACATGCTCCTGGGCTTCTGTGAAGTGGAATGGGGGGGGGAGACAAGCACGACACATGCCTAGTTCTTTTTTTTCGCCTACTTTTTTCGTCTGGTGTCTCGTGTCTTAGATGGCGTCCGCTGTCCCGACTATACCAGCGCGCGCCAACACACGGTCGAAAAGGAGCGACAGGAGGAGGCGCCTGGCCCCATTCTGCCCGTGTCGTTCGCACTCATCTTCGCATTGGGCAAGGTCGTCGACCAACTGCCATCCACTCACGAGACAGGGCCGGGAATGGGTTTCCCGATTGGGCAGCACACCGAACCTGCTCGACACCATCTTCAAGCAATCCCCCCGCATTATTGCCTGCGCAAAGGTCCAGGGTGGCAGGGAACGTCCGCCGAGACCCCTGTCACTTTACAGACGGCGCAGACGACGCAGGGGGGGCCAGTTGCGCACAGAAGCTGTCTGTCAGTGCTGGCTGTATTGACTAAGTAGTCCCTCGGCATCTCGTGAAGAAGCACATGATAATTTTGCATGCCGACAGATGTCTGTGGCGTTCCTTTGACGCTGCTCTGTTGATCCCAAGTTTAGACATTGTGTCGGTGAGGGGGTGGTTGTCCGTCAGAATGGGAGGAAGGAGGGGCAACACAACGGCAAAGATGGCCGCCCTCAACAATGGCCCGGCCAGACTGCCCTGACTGGGGACTGTGGACACCATGGTTCCTTTCTTGTTGGGTTGAAGGGCCCATCCAGAGCCCACTCGACTGTGTGCATGGACAGTAATGTGTCCTGGGTAAAGCGGATTCTGATCCCGAAGAGCGCAGAACCGAAGAGGATCGTGGGTCTCACGATGGAGTCGCAATGAGAAACCTGAAGGGGGGAGGATAGCAGGGGGGGGGGGCAGAAATGGGTCGGACAGGGCAAGGCACCAGATCCGGGAGACGCGACTTGCGCACTGCGCGCGCTGCGAGCGACGGGCCAGAGGGTGGCACGAGATCTGAATGCGCGGACAGGTCGACCAGGCAAAAAGGCAGTAGGCCTGAGGGCAAATCAGGGCCAGGCGGTGGAGTTCGGAGATGAGGCATTGGACGAAATTCGAGATTGGCTACGGTTTGGATCGGGCCTATCGTGGTCTCGGAGTCTGGCCAAAGACAGGTAGAGGAGGGCCTCACGAGTAAGGTGCCTGGGCGAACTAGGTCCCTAACGTTGTACTTAGTACTACTGTAGTACTTGTTAGTCTAGCGGGATGGCACAGACTGGGACACGCCGGTGACGGCGCCGTGGCGGACAGTCAGAGGCAAAAATCGAAGCAGACAAGAGTAGAACGAGAGGCGCGAGAAAAGGGCAGGGGAAGGATTCGAATGGAACGATGGAAGGGCGGAACGGGTAGTGGGCTTTGCGTGGCTCCTCAACACTGGGCGGTCCACTGGTTAGCGCATCTCGCCTCAGACAAGTCAGACAAGGGGCAGGAGAGCGCCCAGCAATTGGTCTTGCTACTTTGCATGGCACATGGGGAAGGTGCCGCACACCCGCTGCGGGGAGACCAGCCGGGAAAGAAGGCTCGACCAACGGGCAGCAGGCAATGGGCAGTAGCGACAGCAGCGACAGCAGCAGGTGTCGCCTGCACATCTTGGATCTTCTGCCCTGTACTTGGCGAAACGGGCCAGGTGCACCCTGAGTGGAGCTCCTTGTTGCTGTTAGGCCCTTCCTCCATTTACCTTAGTTGCTTACCTTAGCTACCTTATCTTCCTACAATTGGGTACCTCCACCCCCCCTTTCTCCTGCCCCTCCTGCCCGCCGCCGCCCCTCTTCCCTGCTTGAGGCCCTACGCCCTGCAGCGCCCCCGAACACTCTTGCCTGCGGGTCAGAGGTTGCCCGTTCTGGTGGGTGGCATTACACATCGGCGCCTCCCATCGTGAATGCTCTCCCCCCCAAACATGGGTCAAGCAGCCAATATCTCACTTCCACTTTGCTTGGCTCGACACGACCAAACTTAATCCGTCTTGCCCTGTCTTCGACATGTGACAAGTACTCAGCCTTCGCCCGCCCGTGGTTCAGCTGCTCGATCCGCCATCCTGTTCGTCTTGGCTGCCCTCGTTCTCGACCTCTGTCAACGCCAGACGAGTCAGTGATCCGTCGACACGCACCCACGGGAGCAACAACGCACGTGAAGCACGAGACCATTTACCACACGCATCTTCTTACCTGATCCGATCTCGTCAACCAAAATAATGAAAGCCACTCGTCGACTACTACTGACTGTGCTTCCTTGGGAGGCCTTTGGGGCTCGCCCTCGCCTCGAATCCCTATGGCGTACCCATCGGCAGCGTTCATGCCAGCGAACCCCGACGCTTCCCCCGCGTTGATCTTGCCGGCCGCTTGCTGGCCCCCGACGCCTGGCCTGTCCTTGGCCCATTCCGCGAGTTGCGCCTTGCTCATCCCCGTGTACTTGGCCACGTCCGCCTCGGAAATTTCGCCTCCCTTCTTGCGGTCCTTGAACCGCTGGTACAGGGACTTCTTTGGCTCAGCGCCATCAATGTGGTTGTGGTTGTCGTCTCTGCCGAACATGATTTTGTATCTCAGATGCGCCTTGGGGTGAATTGAGGTAACGTTTGCAGTCTTCAAGTGGACGATCGAGTGGTCTCGCGGACTCGGTGCCTGGGGAGAGAGCATGTTTATTAATATGCAGCTCCCAGTCTTTGAGTGCTGACGTTCCTGCCGTCAGCTGCGGCTGCGATCAGGTTGTGTGACGTCGGGCTGCCGCGCCTTTGAGGCACCGCCAGCGAACACAGCCTAGCGGCAACCGCGATTTAGGCGCACTACTTGGTGACAAAAACGGTGGTGATGCTGTGAGGTGATCCTAGGCTGGGCGATCGAGACGATCTTTGCCAGAGGATTGTCTGGTGGTCAGCACTATCTTTTGTCTTGCGTCACACTCAATTGAATGAAGGCCTCAACACGCAGGATGAGGCTGGCGTGCCTGGGCTGTGCAGTCTGATGCTGTCACTGGGCTGGTTCCGAAAACTTCATCGATCGTGAGTGCTCTCAACAACAACAAACAACCTGTTAACACAGATGATTATTGGTCAACTGTTTCAGACAGTCCATTGACTCGTCGCACCTGTCCGGTATTTTGTTACACTTTTAGGGTCTGCACGGACAAGGCGAGTCAGCCCTCCACGATCACACGAGACCAAGGGCGTGAGGTCTATTCGGATAGATGGCTGGAGAGATGCGGCATGGAATGGGCATGGTCGCTGCCGCTGACCAAGATACGGGGCCGATACACGAACAGGCAGCGGAGGCGTGCAGACTTGGTTTCAAACTCAAGCCATGAGAGTGCCAAACGAACATGGAAAACGGCAAATGGAATTTTGGTTCAATACAAGATCTAAAGCTTCGACTTTGTCCACAGGCCGCCCTTGTCGAGCCC